TTTTTTTTTTTTTTTTTTTTTTTTTTTTTTTGCGTTGTGTGTATTTCCATGCGGTGTAGTACTGTTTTGGTTGCACTTGCATTTCCCAAATTGATAATTTTTGTGCAAATGTTTGCATGTCTACAATTCAGAGTCGGAAGCCGCTCTCCAGCCCTTCTTTGTTTGTTGCCTTCCTGCTCTTAGCATACAAAGATCTGGCTTGTGTGGCTCCTTGGAGTGGGCTTGGCCATCCGTTTGAAATCCTGTGTCGAAGTATGCTTCCTTTTTTTACAAGCCTGACCAAGCCCACACGTGTCGGTTCCAAACACAACTTGTAGGAAGAAGCTGAATGCACGCAGCTATGTAGGGGCTTCACAAGGATAATGAGTGGCCATGTTGAGATTATAATGTGGCTTTAGGCTTTCCGTACGCTGGAGTTTTTGGAATTGAGGGATGCTTTAAAGGAGCTTCCCAGGATTCCAAACCAGCTCCGACTCTTGTATGGTACAATCGAGACCCTGTACAAGTTGACAGGGCGCAGAGATTTCGTTCCTGCCACTGGCCCTGAAGTCAGGTACTGCGGGCAAAGCAGCTGAACTCTTTGTTCCAACGTTCAATGTGGGTGCTTTTGTTGACTGTGTGCCGCCGTTTCTGCGGGCAACTGCTCTCTGTATTTTCGCAGCGGTAATTGCACCGCTGTCTGACCTCGCGGTGGTTTGTTTTGATTGTTGATGGCGCGGATTCCTAGCAATCAAGCCTAGATTGATGCGGAAAGGCTGCGGCTCGTGCAGCTGCAGTGGCTGCTGCCACTATGGCTGTGGATGACACGCCGGACAGTCATGAGAAGGCTCTAGAACTCGTGCACTTGTGCGTGACAACGGTCCCACTTGTCCAGCACACTCAGAGTGATCCTGTATCATGCGCAGCTTGCCCAATCCTGAGGCCACCCCAAGCAGCTCAAGCTCATCGCTTTCGCGGCCAGCGAATGATAGACAGGCTGGGCTCAGACAATTTTGTAGTGAGGCTGTGGTGCTGTAGGCCTGTTGGGTAACAGTTGCGATGCGGCCGCCCAGCCATGCATCAGGACTCGTCGAGCTCGCCCGAGGTGCCTCTGACCTGATCGCCATAGATAGCCAGGGACACGTGTTCCAGTTACGCATCAGGCAGCCTTCGTGGCCTGTCTTCGGCGGCGACGACTCGTTGCCGAGGACTGCCTGCCACTGGGGCAGTTTGACTGTGAAGTCCCTTGCTGATGCTTCCTCGAAGGATGGGCGCCCTCTTGCCGAGGACAGGCTGAGTCTCTGGGGTACCTTTGTTCGATGCAGTTTCTTACAGGCCGATCGCTATTCCTGACTGTGCTTCTTCTGGCATGAGCATGCCCTCGGATCAACGATGAGTTTCTGCAACTTGCGCTGTCCATGCAAAACCCTGTGCAGGACCTGCCAGAACATGCCACGAATCTGCATTTCACAGAAATAGAAGGACATCCCATATGGGCACGTAACAAAGGCATACAAGGCCTGCACAAGACACCTCAAACCCAGGAGTTATGCGTTGCTAATGTGTTTGATGCCTCCGCATCCAAACATGCTTTGCTTTCTCAGCTTGGTTTCTGTTCAGATGCTGGGTTTGGGAGGGACATGATTCACGTTCTGCTTTCGACTCAACCCGTCGTGTGAATCAGCAGTTGCTTACAAGATCATTTTCCCTAATGATGGCCCATGGTAGCTCCGCAATGTTCCTGCAGGTCCGGACTCATTTCAACCAAGTCCAGCATGTGCCTTCAAGTGCCACTGCTCAAGTATCCCAGGTTCGAGAAGGTGTACAGCGACTATCGGACAGTTTGTGTGCAGCTGTGGAGCGGCTGGCAAATGACCTTTACGAGAGCGAGTGCCACTTCCTGTATGAAATTGTACAGCCTCTCGCTTCATGTCAGATCGGTTGGAGCTGAGTCATGCGAAGGCCGTTGGGATTAAAACGGCCCTGTCACACGCTGTGCCACCTGAGGAATGCAGAAGATGCGCACGCGAGGGCTCGGCCAGAGGAGCCCCTGACTTCGCAAATCTTAGCAGCTCCAGGAATGCTGCTTCTGCCGGCAGGACTCCACGGAGCCCTGCCTGAGCCTCCGCCTCGGGGCTCCCTGCCCATCCTTTCCGCATGGCTATTTCATCAGCGAGCCCTGACTCATCAGACGACCGTGTGCGGAGCCTCTCCAACAAAGCCTGCAGTACCCGATGTACTAGTATTCGTCGTATTCAGGAAAACAACGAGGCCGGTTTCACGGAGCGAGGCTGGGCAGAAAATGCTTCAGGCCAGCTGCTACTCATCAACACCCCGTCGACCATGATACTTGAATGCTCTTGCCATGTACTAGTCCAAGGAGATGTTACTGCACTGTGCGACATCTCTGCCTCATCAAAGAAGAAGCCTTTACCTGGGGCGGCCGGAAAGTCCATCGGTTGCCGCTTGACTGAACCGCTCAGGCTGCTCTCTAAGTTTTAGGATACTCGCTTGAATCTGCTCAATCTGTTGAGGCAAGGGGATCGGTTTCAAGTCTGTGTTTACGGTCAGCGACCGCGCCCACGTCTTGTCGAAAGGATCCCTGCTTGCAAGAGTGTGGTAAGCTGTTGAGACACGGTGCGCTGCTTCTAAATTGTTGGGCTACACGCGTCGCAAGCAGCTGTCACTGGCAATGCTGGACCTTTTCTGAAGGCTTGGACGATCGGCAAGCCTAGGCTTCACTTTCGTCTTCGACGTGCAGGGTCCCCTGGGAAAGCTGGGCTTTGCACTTAGCTTCAGCAAGTCTTGTTGAAGGAGATGTGTTGTGTGCGTGAACTTCTGCAGCTCTACATAGATCAGTCGCGCAGGCTATGTGACACCGACATGGTCTCCTGGCCGCAACTCCTTCTTTCACCACGCAGGGGATCAAGGGAGAGGTCCCCATTAAAGTCTGCCGGACGTCCACGTTGTCCTGTTTATCTCTTGCCCATTCCGAAGCCGAGTGCTGACTAATCGCCCCCATTGTCACCATCATGCGTTCGCTAGCTGGCATGTTCATTTTCCTCCACTCCCCCTCCTCCTCCGTCTGCTCCTCCTCCTGGCTGCAGCGGCCGCGGCGGTAGTGTTGGCGCCTGTAAAAGTGACTTCGCGGAACATGTTCTCCATGTTGAGAAGGAATTGCACACATGCTGCGACATGTGTGACAGATGTATTCTTGAACGTTGCGGGTTGTTTTAATGTCGGGGAGCCAGGCTGCATGGCACAGAGCTAGCGGCTCTGCCGCCAGAAGTGCAGCAAAGCTACGCTGCAGGGAAGACAGCACCTTGGTGAGATTGGAGACTGGAACTTAGACACCGGCTGTATCCGTATTCCAGTCTTGTAGTTGACAGTTTGACTGTGGACCTGCGACCATGGATTACAATGGTAAAGCATTTCCGGTACATGCCAGGCTGCAAGCCGATGTCTTTTTGCCAGGTGCTCTTCCTACCGCTGCGCAGTGCGGGGTTGGCATCTGCTATCAGCCAGGTCATGTGGGGCCAAAACATCTCTCTTGCTCTGTCTTTTTTCTCTCCTGCTTCACATCTTGCTGCCCGTGGAATGTTTTTGCAGCTGCTCGAGTCATGCAAGTTTTCCGGGGCTTGGTCCGGATGCGGGGGCAGTTTTCTCAGTAGGACAGGAAGTTGTGCAGGCCTATGTGCCCCATGTTTGATATGCGCTTGGCGCTTCAGGGCCTAGGTCTCTTGCACCTTTTGCACTTGTATGGTTTAAAGAAGTTTTCGAATGACTGCGCGCTGAACGATGTACACTGAAGTCTGCTGCTGCGGGTTGCTGTGTTTGACCAGCATGTTGCCACCTGCGGTTCTGCAGTCTCTCTCTGACCAGCATTTCAACATGAGGTTAAGACTTGATATATCATGATATATATAGGACCACCTATGGGAGGTTGAGGCCCGGTTTCAAGGGTTGACTTGGCCTTGAGGAGATGGATGAATTGGCTTCGCAGGGCCGGGCCTCGTTGCTATTCCTGCGGCGGCTCCGGTGTATCGACGCCCCGGTGCACTTTGCTTCTTCGACATGTCACAACAAGTCCACAGTTCAAAGCTTAACGAACGCCGGTCGTGTCAAAAGTGGCTTGATCTAAGAGCTCCCTGCTTGTCATGGCAATCAGTGTGTCAGTCAAAATTGTTCAAGAGCGCTTGAACGTAAGGAGCTGGGGCAAGCATCCGCGTCTCCCAGGCAGAGGGGAAAGTGATTCAGCCTGAGCGAAGGGAGCCAATGCTCGCGGAGGCTTCTCCGGCGTGTGGGCGATGACATGGCAGCCCAGACGCTGCATGCCTTTCAGTCTGGACCTACCATACATACAGTGGATGCCACAGCTCAACCTAAGGGTCAGACCATTGTACTCTGGTTTCTGTTGGGGCCCTGCTCCAATCTATTGTACAATCTTTAGCGATGGGGCCTTGGAAAGACTGTAGTGGTTCTGTGACCCAGAATGCGAATGAAGTTTACTCGCTTTCCTGCTGCCCGAGAGCACAACCTGTCAAAAAGTTGCCAAGCACAAGCACAACCCCTTGCTCTGCCTCCAAGGATGCCCGAGCAGAAGCCCCAGGTCAGATCCTCTTCTGCCAGAGGCTGAGACAGGCTGCTCGTAGGATCTCGTAGGCTTCAGCAAAACTTCTTAGGTCTTGGGATGAATCAGCTGCCTCCGTGACTGAGGTCGTGATTGAACACCAGAAGTCTAAGATGGATCAGCGGCAAGAGCACAGATACTTGCTCTACACCCACCTTGCAGCTGTCACTTCCGGAGCCTGAGACGCAAGCAAAGCCTAAGCCTGGGACTCGCATGTTCTTGACTGAAGGGTACAGGCTTCGTGCATCAGTGATTTGTGAGGAACGGGCCCCAGCATGGACGCAGAGCTCGTGTTGGCATTTCCGGTGGCATGCCCAGATATCTTGGGGCCAGCTGTGATCATGTGTCATCATCACATATACTTCGATTTCTGAGCCTCGCTTTGCAGATGCCAGCGGCAGAGGAGGATGCTGAGACATCCGGTCGGTGTGAGCCGCTGTTCTGCGCCTTGCCCATCCGCAGCTCTGGCATTGGATTTTTCAGTGAAGCCCACAGGCATTGTTTTGTGAAAGCTTCCGATTGGGGAATGCGCTGAGAATTTGCAACAGTTAGCTCTTCATGCTGGGCGGTTGGTGCGGCCTGATGGTTCTCAAGCTGTCGTCCCAGGCATGGTTGGATTCGGATTTGCGATGCATTGTGACTGCTTCGATTTGGTGGCGAACCGCAGTGGCAAAGCTCAATTTCGGCAATCTGTGACTCATATAGTAAAGATCTCGGGGTTGGACTTGGCACGTGCTTGTAGCGACTTTGTGCCAGTCCATGTTGTTTCTTGCAATGAGGTGACCTGCATCGCGCCTCGCTCCCAAATCGAGTTGTCCGAGATGCACTTCCGCAGGCACGGGTTCAGACGCGAGCGGAAGCTGGCCTCAGAAAGACCCTCACACACTCTGGAGCAGAGGCCTTTGCCAGAGCTTGCCAAGCTTCTCCTGAAATTTCGCGCCGGGCCTTGTCGTTTCTCGGCATCTTGCCGGCAATAATTAGATATCACTGCTTTGTGCGGTCACTGTTGCATCACGTGTATTGCCTGTAACAATGTGGGCATCGTTTTCTCGGGCCATTCTGAAGGCTATGAAGTCCTCTCTCTCGCTCCCCTCTCCCCCTCTCCATGGTGATCTCTCACTCGAGTCACCAGCCTGCTGTGCTGAGCATGCAGACCGTGTTTGGAGCTAAACCATGACGTGAGCCGCTGAAGGTGAACCAGTTGCTGATCCTTTCTGGAGAGTGGCCAGAGAGGGAATCCTGGATCTTGGGGCAGCATATGACATGATGGATCACATGCAATATGAGCCAGTCATGTGGGATGATGGACTTGAGCGAATCGCCCATGTTCATTCTGGTATATGGGAGTTGCGGATCTATTGGGATCCGATGACGAGAACATTGCAACATGTTGCAAGGAACAGCTCTCGGATGTGTCCTGCCGCAACCTTAGAAGCCATTCAGGCAGCATCAAAACGACTCTGCTGATCATCGTGCTGGAGCCTCTCTGGGAAGTGTAGACGTCTCAACGCGTTCAGGGGGCGTTTGCTATGACTCAGGTGTTCAGACATCAGCTGGAGACTTCAGAAGGCCCTGCGAGGCCGAGTCAAAACAAAGCCATGCAAGACCAAACAGTTTGGCAGTTGGAACCTCCAGCGCTGAAAAGCCCTTGCCACCCCCGTAACGCCGCAGCACAAGCAGGTCCTCCTCCGTGGTGTTGGCACACTGCGCCGCGCATCCGAGCTCTTTCCGGCCAGCCTGATGTCACCTGGCACGCAAGCATGCCAAGGTAGGCGACGGCCCAGCCAGACCGTATCGTTCCATTTCGAAGCGATTGCCGGAATGTGCACACTCCATTGCATGTACATTCTTTGCCAAGTGAGCTGCAAAGAAAGTCAAGACATGTTATTAAGTGAGTGGTCCAGCAGTCGAGCTTTGCTGGCATAGTGGACAAAGTGGCCGTAGCTTTCGGGTCGTGTGACATCTTGCGTAGGCATGGTTGACGTGCTGTAGCGCACCACAATCCAAACCGTTTGACACTTTTGATGCCTTCAACTGAGTACTCTCAGCTGCGGCAAATCTCTCTGCGAGTCATCCGACTCCAGCGAGGCGAGCCTTTCAAAATCCAGAAAAAATCGGGGGCAGGACAAGCAGGGTGTAGGACCCCGCCCTGAAGAGCATCTTGCCCTTGCCTATGCAACCCGTTCTTATGGAGACAATATCAGCCCGTGTTGCTCCAGGGTTTTTGGTGTTTTCAATGTAAGTGTGGTAGGTCGTTTGAACAAGTTTCATTCCGGCTCCTGATGCCTGGCTCATCGTGCAGGAGCGCCTTCTCCGCAGACTGGGAGCTGAGGCGACCGGGATCTTCAGAGAGCTCTAGCAGTGGGGGTTTCACAGTAGAGCTAGTGCTTGAGTCAGGACTTTGGTGCGCGCCACATTGCGGCCTGTCTGGCGTACAAGGGCAGCGAATGGCCTCAAGGCCCACGCGGCAGATCCGAGCGAATGACCTGGTTGAGTTAATCTGTTTTAAGGGCTTTCATGGTTTGATAGTTCTTGTCGCCCTTCAATCCAGGCTCTGCCGGATTGGGCTTAGATGGGAAAAGCTTAAATCGGAGTCTCAGGCTGGGTCTGTGTGAACTTCATGAGGTTTGTATTTCAGTGAGTCGAGCTCAGCTCCAGGATGCTTCAAGGGCTGTGCGCGAGAAAAGATTCGTGCCATCCTGAAATGTAGTATCAATGAGATCTAGCACATCTTCAGGCTTCGTGGCACATGCCTGGGCCGGCCCAGATGGTCGGCGACACATTGCTGATCTGCAGCTCGGACTAAGACGCCAAGGAGTCTTCGGACATTACATGGGTTGTCGGTGCGGCTGAGGGTTAGGTCTGGGAAAATTGGGTTTGTTGCGCTCTCCTGCCGTGGCTGTATGACATGGGGGGCTACTAAACTTCCGTTCTACAAGGCAGCTCCCTAACTCGGGTTTGGCACGAGTTCAAAGGCTACCGTTCGCAGGGGAGAGATACCTCAATCTCTAATCCAGGGAGGCACGCTTGCAATGTGTCGAGGTACAACGTGCTTGGTGCCGTCATCCGCCCGGCTGATGGCAGTGACTCGGGAGCAGAGGCGCTTCAGATCAGCTGAATGCTTTTGCGAACCTTGACATGGGGTTAGTCCCAGTTAGGGTCCTTGCAACATGAGAGGCGGTCGCGCTGATGCTTGAGCTGCCTTCCCTTCCGCTTTTCCCGCTCCTGAAGGATACATCAGACTCCAGGCACCTGGCCACTGATCGAGAAGGGTTTCAAGCGGGCCAGCCATGTGACGTGCTTATGCCCAGAAGGCAGTCCCAATAATGGGGAGATGTGTATTTTGGGCAAGTCATGTCTGCGAAGAAAGCAGCTGGGATCCGATTCTCGTACCTCAGTTCGCCTTTACAAAAATCCTCGTGCATGGAGTTCAAGTCTGGTCAGTGGTGCTTGTGTCGTAAGGCAAGGAGCAGATGCGCCTGCCCGCCTCCGTGTCTTGCTTGACACCTGCTTTTTGCACATTCTTGTCTTGGTGGCAGTGGAGGCAGCAGAGACTCGTGGAAAAGATGCTAAGCAGTTGAAAAGTGAGGCGACGGAGCTGTTTTCCTGGGTCTTTGCGATGAGCTTTCGGACACTCGGCTGTAAGGAAGCAGAGCACAAGGTTGATCCTCAGACAGAGATGCGTGGGAAATTCTGGGCTCAGAGGCCTTTGAAACCCTGAAGCAGCCTCGGGCTGAGGAGCGCTGGCAAAAAGCTCTGGCCACTGCAAACGGAGCTCTGCGCCTGCTGTACCTAGGCAGCTGCTCTCTTTCTCTGTTCTCTTCCGCGTTGGGGGGTTCAACGGCTTCATCAGGGTGGAACTGAACAAACTTGCACATAATGCGGCATGCTTTGAAGGGAGTGATTCCATTTTTCTTTCTTCAGCGAGGGCATTGTGACCAAAAAAACTTTAAATTTTCAGCTGTGTAGTTGTTGCTTTTCGTTTGGGGCCTTTAGATAAAAACCCAATTTGCCAAATTCACGAGAAGCCTAGGCCTCTTGAGATTTCTTCTGGCCTGGATGGCCTGGGTTCTCAGCTGCAGCTTGGCCAGCAGCTTTGAGCCCCCTCGCCATTGGGTCGTCAAGATGCAAAGTAAGTCTGGCCATGGTTTTGGAAAGCAGTGCTCTTCCTGAACAGTGGGGTTTACCTTAGAGACTTGGCCTGATGGTTGGGGCACCTGCTTCGGTGTGGCATGCGCATATTGTGTTGCCCCCGTAAACGCCTTGGATTGGAAGAGGAAGTCTGCTTCTTAAAAGCCCTGTTGAAGCCGTTGTGTTCCACGGCTTCAGGCTGGCCTCGCTGGGAGTAGAGCCACCCAAGGCTGGTCGGCTGGCTGAAGCAGCCCTGGAGGCCGGGATCATTTCTATAGCATTCACACATTGCAAGCGTGATGTACTATTGCGGAGTCTTGTGCGACCGTCATGGAGGAGCTGTTGCATTGCTGCGTAGCATATTTGGAATTTGGAGCCGGTCGTTGTAGGGTTTTGGGTGATTTTGGGTGATGAAAGCTGTTACTATGCGCATGGTGCAGACAGTTTCTCAGAGTCTTCTCCCACATTCGTTTGTCATCTGAGCAGGTGCTTCTGAAGGCTCTCCCGGGCGAATCTCGGCTGGATTTAGGATGCCAATCTTGCCATGAGTTTGCTCATACCTGACCGACCTTTGCCAAGTATTGCAAACCCAGGCAAGCCCCTCGGCAAAGGCCGTCTATGCCTCCTGGGCCGTCAGTACCCTGGAGGCTGAGGTGTTGACTGCAAGCGTGCAAAACCGACCGCCTGGCATCAGCCGCCAAATCCGAGGCCCTGGCGGTACTGCGGGACCTGTGGGCAAGTGGGGATGAGAAAAGCATGGTGCCCAAGTCGTTTGTGTTGAGATCTTCGGCAATGGCCCGAAATGTTGAGGCATTGCAGCGGTGACCAGCGCCTTGACCAACCTCCAGGCCTGTGAAAGCCAGGATGCTGCGGAGGCTTTGCTCAGAACCAAGGCGGGCGCTCTGTTCGTCCCAGCATTACATGCAATCTTACTTCAGGATATGTGCAACACCTGTCACGAGTTACACAAGCAGGCCTTGGGCAGCTTGTTGGTCGCTCCAGCACTCAGTGGAGCTCTTCGGCCACCCCCTTCGCTGCGGTGCACGCCGCTGGGACGCAAACTCACAAAATGACGAGAGTGCAGGTAGGTGTAGATATGCGGACAATTGCATGCATCTGCGTACCGCTTCTTGTTGCAGGTCAATTCTTGGAGTCTACAAGCAACTGCCTAGTGCTCCTTGTCGGATTAAGACGAAATTTGAAAGACCCGTTGCAGTCCCGGCTCTCAGCTGCGAATGACTTAGGATTTGATCGAGCGGATAGAGGCTTTCCTGGGCGCCGAGTGTGGTCACCAGGGCGCTTTGCTGGCTTGCCCGCCGCTGGAGCCAAATCAGCAATTTTGTGGCCGCGTTCACTGCAAGCTTTCGCAGAGAGGTCCTCCCGAGCGCTTCAGCCGTGGCCCTTGGCAGAAGACCAGGATGAGCTGCAGCGGTGGCTGGAGGCGGAGTATGTCTCTTGCCTTCCGGATTCCAGGTCTGAGTGCTTCATTTGGCAGGCGCTCAAGTGGGAGGCCTTCTTCGTAGATTGCCTAGGCCAGGAGCTGTGCAGGTAGGTCGCGGTCGCGGCAAGCCTGATAAGTGGCAACACCTCTTCTTGAAAGTCGTCGGGATTTAGGGAGAGAGTCCGCAAGTCCTATACGGATTGCCACACCACGCCATCAGCATACCACAAGTACTTGCACTGGAATGCTTGTCAGCATTTTGTTCCTGTTTATGGTCATGTTCTTGCTGACAGACGCCTCACCGCAGTGAATTCAGGCGCGCAGCCTCGGCAGCCAGCGGACCCCGCTCAGGATCGGGCTCCGGTTATTCAAGGCTTGCCTAGAGAACATGCCTAGCATCCCTTCTCCAGCCACCAAAAGGTGGGATGCCGCATGCTCGAAAAAGCGCAATCTCCATCCATTGCTGGTTTTGCTAAGAGACAGCATGATACGACTTGGACCTGCTCGCTAAGTTAAGTCTTGACATAGGCCCGGAAGAAGCAACAATGGTGCCAGTTCATGGCTGACCTGAGAGCGGCACTGGGGATCTAGGTTCCTCATAGGGTTGTTGAGTGTTGCCCCTGAGCTAGGCCCTTCCGAAAGTTGCGCAGTAGAAATGATGGCAGTGTCAACATTTATCTTCGTTTAAAGCTGTGTGCGGCGACAGTCTTCCAAACACCATTCTGTCTATTTTCAGATCGGAAGCTGACAGCCCGTAAGCCCAAGAGCCCTGCATCGTGTCTGGAAGCCAGGAGAAAATTGAGTAAAGGTCTACCTCCAGCAAGAATGAGATTGCCTCGTCGCTATATTGTATGTGGCCAGGGATTGGGCTGCAACTGTTTGCAGGAGAGAGCCACGCCTTTCCTATCCCTGGAGATGGGCATCAAGATAGGCCTCTTTTCTGGCATTGCAGAGCACTCCAGCGACAGTTGTAGGGGGGAGTTTGTCTGGTGATTCATGAAAAATGCATTTAAACATGCCGGCAGCTGTGCAGAGGCGGGGACGATGCTCATAGTCTTTGGGGCTGTTTGCTCGACGAGAAGGCGCGATGCTGCAGCCAGCTTCCGCCCGGTCTGTTGTTTGCCAACCTGAGCTTGAGGCAACGACGGATCCAGTGTTCCGCCGCCTGTCGCTACAAGCGCTCTCTTTTAAGAGCTGAAGCCTCCACATGAAGTCCAGAAATCCGAAACCCAAAGAATGCCGCTGGGCTGTGGCCCGAGGTTACGCGTGCCGGCGCTTGGCAGACCCAGTTGACAGGGCATGGTTCTCCGAGCTCCCTGCCCGCGCCCATCGCCGCGTGCGCGAACTCTTCCTGTGCCTTGCATCATTCAGACATCTGGCACGTGCGAGAGATCAAGGGGCAGCGCATCAGCTTGAATTGGTGTGATTGGTTGCAGAGTTGGATGCCACATGCCGAGGCATTCGGATCCTTGGCACGTTGGCAGTCTGAATAGCCTTGGCTCACTTGAGAAGCGCGTGGCAACAAGATCCTATCACATGTTTCTGCTCTGTGGGATGTGATTCCCAGAAATAACTGTAGAGGTGACGTTCATTGATGCATGCAGACACTCGCTCAGGGCACGTTGAGAAAGCATTCATGCGTGTTTTTGCGCCAAGGAATACTGGCCTGTAGCTGGTGCATCCCTGAGTCACGGCTGCTTAATTGTTGCTGGCTCAATTATGCAGGTCCGCCCACACGTAGCATAAAGCTCATGACTTCAATTTCATACCACCAAGTGATCTCGTGCAAATACGGCTTGAACCCCTCATGTAACAGACAGAAAGTCACCTAGAAGATCTCCAGCAAGTAATTATCAAGCTTGAAGGTTCTTCCGTTCAGAAAGTGTTTTAACAACCGGGACTAGGCACGTGTGGCAAAATGTGGCAAACCTGCATCAGAGCTTGCCAAGCCTTGTAGCGTAAGATTTTGTAGGTAGCGAAGATTTTTGCCGTTAAGCCAAAGGCAACATGACAGTCGCTTTCCGCACGGAAACCCAAGTAAGAATTGAGGAATGGTGTCTATCTCCGACTAACGCTGCCAGCCGGCCGCGGTACGCAACTCCGGCAATGTCTCGCGGGTTTGGGAGCGCGAGCAGCTTGGCCGTTTTCAGCATCCCGGGGGGCCAATTTTGAAGATTTTTGGATACTCTAAGTGGTGCCCTGGAAAACATCGACGTGGCCTTGAGCCAAGGCGCAACTGGATGTCCCAGGTTTGGCGGCCGCCTTGGAGGCCTTGCTGCGAGGACGCAGGGCGCAGGGGTGGATGGGCTTCAGGCTTTCGGATCTTTCAGACAGAGAGCTGCAACGCAGGGATGGCCTCCTTCAGGACAGTGTCGGCTGCCTGAGACGTTCGCCCGTGTCTACACAGCGGTAGACACGCTGGAGACCACTGCGGGTGCAGGCATCGGCGACCACATTTTTACTCTTGTGCAGCCCGCAGTGCCTTATAGGGCAAGCATGGCTCAAAACAAACCTATTATGCAAACTTGTTACCCTGTGGGTCTGCGCGATGCAGACGCTCCCGACAACGCAGAAGTTCGAAACAGATGCCCCAAAGACGGGAGACTAGCTGACGTGAAAGGCAACTCCCATAGCGCCGCCACTGAAGAAGTGCTCCAGCGTTCCATCTTCCATCCAGCCGCTTGGTCATGGTTGGATATCGCTGCAGAACAGTTTACTTGGGATGATGAGCTGCGAGCACTAAGTGCCGCCTGCAGCAGGTCAGCGCAGATTTTTTTGCAAGGTGTTGGTGGATGTTAGCACTGGGATCCACAGTCCAGGAAGAGGAGGCCGCCGTGAAGGCAGAAAGGCCTGCTGGCACTGAGTAATCGAACTGCCTGACAGCGGACCAACTCACGCTAGATACAGCATTGGCATCAGAACAATCATTCAGTTTTCTGTCATTCCTGAGTCAAACCGACGGCAGGTGTGTTTGGGAGTTGCCTCAGAATTTGCTTGTGGCCCAGCATCTCGGTTCGAAAGAGGTCTGACTACACAACAGTAGTCTTCAACTGGCATAGGATGCCATCTGACTGTGTTGACATCGAACTTCCTCTACTACACGCTCAGGTGCTGTGACCTTCTCGTCCTTGGCGACGTCTATGCGCGCCACGGGGAGGCGGTTTAGGGGCCAGCGCGTTCTATGATTCCACACCTCCTGTGAAATCCTGAAGTCGTTATCGATGAGTGTCGGTTCACAACAAGCTTCGGCATGGAGGTGCAGCTGAAGCGATACTTTGAGGCTCGGGGCGTGCCTGTGGCCCCAGACTCTGCTGAGGCCAGCAAAAGGAACTGGATCCTGGGCCATGCTCAGCAACTTCCTGACTTTGCGCAGGCCTACATGAAGATTAGGAAGAACTTGCTCCTTGCTGCAGAGGACCCGGCCCTCTCCCAAAATTATCGAGGGACATCAGAATTCATGGAAGACTGACCTCTCAAGAGCAGGATTTGGGCAAAGCCTGGCGCAGCGCCGAGGGAGAGCCGGAGCTGGTTCAGGCCACGGAAGACATGAACCTTCCCACCATCGACGACATCATCATCATCATCATCATCATCAGATGTGCATGAAAGGAATGACGCTGGCAGCTCATGAATCCTCGGTCTGCTGGCACCAAGGGCCTAAAGGAAGTAGTGGGGGGCTGGGGTTACATTTACAGAATCCAACGATGCAGCAGATATACAACATTTGTCTCTTAAATGGTTGTCAGATCCAGCCGCTCATTTGTCCAAATCCGCGCTGGCCAGGTTTCCCTGCCAGGATCCTTCAGCAAGCAGACCGGCACGCCAAAGATTCGTGACTTGGGCCTGTAATTGGATGTACCGCAGCATACCGCAGCAACATGACCTCTGGCCCCGACTGGGGTCAGTGAACATCTGCAAGGTGCTGGCGACTTCTTGGTGCAGATTTGGGAAGCCTTGCTGTTTGTGTACAGAGGCCACAAGCTTTCTTGATCTTTGTTGGTTCCTCTGGTGCCTGCGTGTTTCCTTCCTTTTCTCTCGTGTCTCCTGTTCTGAAAGTCGCTGCGGGTGAAAAGCAATTGAGCAACGTGCGTACGTAAGTTCTAGCAGGCGTCAAGGCCTTGGACTTAAAGTGCGGAGTGTTTGACAGGCATGGCGGCCCTAGACCAAACTCAGCGTGAAGCTCTACAGCCTTTCTCAGAGGTCGAGGTTGTGGCAGCTACTTGGACTGCACAGATCCGGCCTGCGGGGCCTGCAAAGCTGCCCTTTGGCATGCAAGGTGGTGCCACTTCCCTGCCCAGAGGGCGGGCCACCTCAAACCTCCTCAATGTTGGAGGCTGTGAGCAGTCTGACTGTTCAATTGCACGGTGATAGGTCCTTATCCTTGGCGACCTTGCAGACTTGAGCGTGTCCTAGAGAAGCTCTTGCCAGCGTTGACGCAAGGTGTTGCATCATACTAGGTAATCTAAGCCTTGTCATGGTTTGGAAACAGCCGGTGTGGGCGCAGGTGGCGCGCTACCATGATGGCGCGTTGTTCCGGAAGCTCTCTGTTTGCCGCTCGTTTAGGATCAGCAAATTTAACACGCAGACCTTCTGGATTTGTAGTTTCGTGGCATGTATTGAGTGGCAGCTCCCAGCACTGGCTTATTTCACCTGAGGAGCTCAGGTGAGTGCTTCTGGGAGGTGGCCCCTGATTTGGCGGACTCGCCGGCAGCTGCGTGGGCGTTGAGTGGGGCTCCTTGGATGTTCAAGAACTAGGCAAGATCTGCAAACGCCGCCGTGGAGGGGCTTTCTTTTTTTTGGCCATCTGCCAGAACGCACCATTTCTTGCACATCAAAACAATTCTTCAGGTCCAACAAACAGCATGTTCTTTGACACTTGTGTTCTTGAAAACACATATTTTTGCAGACCAGCGCATATGATCCATCATGCGTTTTGCTTTGTTTTTAGCGCGATTCCGGGTGATTGTTTTGCTGCCAAAAACTGGGTTGACAATGGCAGAAAGACAAAACATGTTTTGCAATTTTTGTGATGATATTTCGGGCAAATGCGCGTTTCCTTGTGCCTTTTTGCGCATTTTGAGTGGGTCGTTTCCGGCCACTTGTGCGAACCATGCCGACAAACAAAAGGTATCGACTACTTTTACTTCGAGCATGATGGAGCATGCGGGGGGCTTAAGCATGAAGCTTCTCGGCCCAAAACGTT